GGATGACATAGTGAGACTCTGCCTCCAAAAAAAAAAAAAGAGTATTTGTCACTTTAAAAGCCATCCTTTCTCACATCAGCCTAATTTATAGCAATGGTTAAAGAAAAATAAAAATATTCATTAATAAATGTGCTAATTATTTCCTGCCAGGAACTAAACCACCAATTTATGATCAAGTTTCTACAAGAAATTTCTAAAAGACACTGAGGCTCTGAAGAAGCAAGCACCTCCTTTCCAACTAGCCATCAAAGTGCTTTATTCATTTTTGATCATGAGAACACTACTTACACCAGAAAAGCATGTCTACTAGTTAGCTTCAAGTGCCATGTTTCAAAAGATGTAACAGAGAAGCTCTGTTTGAATTCAAAACACCATAGGAAATCACTGGTAAAGTCTAAAATGAAAAACAGGTCTCTGAAATGCCCAGAGCCAGCTGCTACTGTCCAGAATCCAGCTCTTTCCAAGAGAGCAACAGACCTGCATGAGGCACAGCTTAACTGGAAATGTCATCTCCTGAGGCCAGGGTCTGCAAAGGCTTTCTGTACAGGGCCAGACAGTACCATTTTAGACTCTGCTGGCCTATCAGTCTCTGCAGCAACTACTCCCGTCTGCCTTGCAGCAAGCCACAGGCAATACACAAACAAAACGTGGCTATGAGCCAACATAACTTTAATTTCATATAGTTTTCCTGTAACTTATTATTTTTCTCTTGATATTTCCTAACCATTTAAAAATGTAAGAACCATTGCTAGTTCACAGGCTATAGGACAACAGGCAGCTATTTTGGCTTGCTGGGATTCGGTCTGCAGGGCAGTCACCACACTGGCCTAGGACCCAGCTTTCCTTCAGCCTGTGCCTATTTCTTTCCCCTCTGTTTACATAAACCTACAAATTATGTGCTTTCCCCATCAGCAAAGCATTCCTTTTGCTTGTCTAAGTCACAGATGCCCAGTCTTTGTTTCCTTCCCGTAGCACCCAGAAGTCCAAAAGAATAACTATGTGGCCAGGAAAGACAAAAACAGCCTGGAGAAGGCCCTCCTCTATTGCTGTGTAGCTCTGTGCACTCGTGGAAGTTACGCAACCATTCCAAATCTCCACTTCACCTCACATTTAAATAAGGATTATGGTACCCAGTGACCTGTAAGTAACAGCAAAGGTGCCATTTTAGACTGAGTAAGGAAGGTGGGAGGGGGGGATACAACCTGTGGAGAAGACTCGCCAAGTGCAGTTCAGAAACAAGGCCTTGCTTGATGTTTCACTGGTAAGTCACTAGGTCAGGGTAGTGTGTGGTCCCCAAGTAGAGGAACAAAGCTCAGTGAATTTAGCTGAAATCTTGAGAAATGAAGCAAAGAACAATCTCCCTGACTGCAGGCCAGAAGGCCAAAACTCAGCAAAAACTGAGGATCTCTTCATGGCAAAAGAAAAGAGTAGACACCAAACAGCAAAAAAAAAAAAAAGAATACAACTCAGTTTTTCACTTTAAATAATTTATTAAACATACACAGCTACAATACAAAGCAGGTTTGACTTATATTGAAAGTTACAAAGGAAAAGAACTAAACAAAAGATAGTGAGGGGAAGAACTTCCTGGGAGCTAGACGTAATAAATAGAATACTTAAAAATAAAAGAAATGGAAAGGCACAGAAATTTGAAAATACTATGCATTGCATATCTAAGATTGTAAAACATAAATGCTTACACTAGACATTACTAAATTATTCTTCAAGGACACTGTGCCTCCAGCGAGTCTGGGGATTTCCATCTTCATATTTTCTATGATGAGAGTTTATTTTTAAAGTACTTTCTCCTGTATGATGGATAGAAAAAGGTAACTCAATTTAATTTTCATTCTTTATCCTCACATTCTCAGGAGTAGTTTCATATGTCTCTTTTCATTTTATGAAATACAAGGCATGGTCTGTTTAAAGGATGGGATGTCATTGCCAGTGGGAGCCCAGGGCATAAAAGGGCACCAAGGACAAGCCCCTTGTTCTCCTTTCCAGCGGTTTCTCCAGGACCTTGCTTGTTCCCTCTCCACCCCGTAAATTGCTAGTTTGCATCAGCAGATAGGACAAACCTATTCTTACCTCCTTGAATGTACCACAGTAAATTAAAGAGTTTATAAATGAACGTGGTTGAAAAATACTAGTCTTGACAGAAACATCTGAAACCATTTCCTTCATTTTTGCCCAAAACTTCGCTTCTGCCCAATCCAGACCATAGGATGGTCAAGGTGCCTCTGCAAACACACATACACGCTTTGATACAGCTCTGGAGACTTGATTGCAAAGATTGGCTAAAATACATCCCCTTCTTCCCATCTAGAATGCATAAAGTACAGGACAGACGAACCAGGACATGAACCTGTTTCACTGACACTGATTAGGAGGCTGCCTATGAAAGCCCCCACAGTATATAATAATTTATATAGGATATAATTTTCAGGTACCATTTCTATAAATGATGCTACAAGAAAATGATTATTTTTAACCAAAATCTTATTTAGATTCTTTCCACACTAAGAATAAAGTGGCAAACAGAAAGGAATCCACACAGCACCCAGAACTCTCAGTAAACCTAACAAAAAGCAATGTTTTCAACTCTGCTCAACCAAGCACCAAAGCTGGGGAGAACTGTATTCCAAAAATGGATGACTGTGATTCAAACAGCACATTCCATATTACAGAGGAAAAAGGAAAATCACTATAAATATTTGTTTTCAAGAAAGAAAGATTTGCCATTATCATTCCAGTAACACTATAATGCTACATTGTCTCAAATATACATAGATTTCCTTATCTAGTGATTCTCAACTCTGGGCAATTTGGATAGTTGGCCATGTTTTGTTCTTACATATGGAAGGGAGTATTACTGGCATCTAGTGCAGAGGCCAAGGACACAGCTAAACATCTATAAAGCACAGGCCAGCCTCCAATGGCAAAGAAATATCCAGGCTCAAAATGTCAAAAGGACCAAAAAAAATTCTGATCTGATCCTTTTCTTCCTGGCCAGCTGGGACATAATGGCAAATATAAGAGGTTAGAGATGCTAGGCACTCTCCTTAAAGACCTCCTACTAAGCTAGACAACAAAGAATCCTTTTAAAAAGCTCGATATTTATGTAGATTAATAAGTTTCCATTTATGAAATTTAAGTTGTAATATTTAAGGAAAAAAGACCAAAGTCCATGATTCTGACCACATTTTCAAGGAGTGTACCTCCTACCTTTACTAGCTTATCACATAATCTGTAAGAACATCTACCCACCCAGAAGTTTGTAATCACACTTGCTGCTGCTGACTCCACCTATTACAAATTAGTATTTTCCCACATTTGGGCCAGAACTTAATTGTCTATGCCCATCGACCAAAAGTGACAGTCCTCAGCTTTCAACAGTGAATTTTATGTGCTCTTTTTCTGAGAAAAACATTCATATCTGAAATTCCCTTTCTCTGATGTTACAATCTAATAAAAGTGTATTGTCTGGTTCTATGAAATTTAAAAGCCAGAGAAAGGAAGTCAACTTTGACTACAAACTTAAAGGGGTCTAGAATAGAGATGCTTCTATTAAAAGTAAAGAATGTTGCTAATGAAGTGCATAAAATATACAAAAGCCAAAAGCACCCCTCTAAATATAGCAAAACCCTCAGAGGTTTATTTCCCAGTAAAAGTATCTTTGAGTGCTTCAAGAAAGAAAGACATTTTTCTGGGGAAAGTTTTTTGTTTTATTTTATAGCTCTATTTCCAAGTTTGCCGAAGGCATTTACTTGTCTATCGTTCTAGATATTACACTAAAAGAAATATCTTAAAATTGTGAAAATATTTAGTTCAGATTTAGAGGAACCACATGGGTTCAGAAATTTGTTTTTAAGCCTTCACCTATACCTGACACAAAGCAAGGCCTCTCGTCCGACAGCAATCCATCTAAATGCTGACGTTTCTCATGCTAACAAAGAGAGCACTGTTTGGCAAGAACATAGAAAGATGGGCAGTTTAGCCGTTTTCTGACACACCTAAAAATGAAGACAAAACCACTTCTACCTGAATTATCTGCACTGTCCACCAAATGTCACCTTTTGGATGTAACTCTGGAATTTCTGTTTTCAGACTTCAGGTAAATTCTAGCAGAAAAGCATCTTACTAAAGTAGGGGACATGGGGTACCGAAATGATCTTAAGTTAAAAAAAGAAATGTAGAAGGTTATTTGAATGCAAGATCCAGTTTCAGAGCGTTGAGAATAAGAGCACAAAAGTGGAAACCTCCATGGAGTTCTCATGTGTGGCAAAGGGTATTACAGGATGCTTAGACAACCGTGGTGAGACTCTCTTTTTCTGGCTAAAGGTAAAAAGTTTTGTTTTACACGAATGTGACTAGACCATTCACTGCAGTTCCAGCTTCTGAAAACAAGATACAGCACCAGGCTTAAGAAAAGGGTAGCTAAGGGGAGAAAACCGTGTGTCCACAGCTTCCCCTCCAAATCCCAAAGCAGGAAAGCTGCCGCCTGGAGGTATTGGGTAGCCAGGCAGCCTCGCTGAAAACAACCACGGTTTATGAGCGTTGTTTTTGGCAGGAGGTAAGTGTTACCGGCCGCTTCCTGGGGTGCTGGAAGGAATGTGTCACCATCAATCAAAAAGTACACTGAGCCCCGTGTTTAGGTCACAGAGGGAGTACTGCCTCGTCCATCAGGGACGAATCCATGCCAACTCCCAGAAGGGGAGGGAAAGGAAAGTCGCAGGAAAGGTGTTAGCGGTGCCCAGTGACCTGCAAGAGCAAAAGGAAACCCGAACTTGTTCCGAAGGGAAATTCAGGCGCGCTCGATACACGAAATACAAGAGCCCACCAAGACGGGAGGTTGCACACTTCCCCCAGACCAGCACCGCCGACCGCAATTCCGGGGAAGCCCCTGCGCTCCCGGCGGGAGGGACCAGCCGTCCCTCACCTGGCGAGCCCCGTCCCAGGGCTGCGGATGAATGAGCAGCGGCGGGCCGCGGGGCGCTCACCTGTGGGGCTGCTGGAGGGTCTCTCCGACTCCGCTCCGGGGCAGGCCCGCCAGCCGTGCAGCGCCAGCGCCAGCAGCAACAGCAGGCGACGCATCGCCGCGCACCACCTCGTCCTCCCTCCGCACGTCGAGGGCCGGCGCCCGCGGTCGCCCCGCCGCCCCGCAGCCGCGCACTTCTCGCGAGAGCGCCGGGGCCGGTCCGCCGGGACTGGTGAGGGCGGGAGGCGCGAACGCGCGAGGTGCGAGCGGCGCGGAGCGGCCCGAGTGAGGCGGTCGGCGGAGCGCGGAGCTGCGCACCCCGCCGGCGCCGCGGGCGACTTATAGGCTCCCGGGGGAGGCGACTGGGCGGGCCGCGCCCCGACTATTGGCCGCCGTCTGACCCGCGGCTGCTGCGTGCGCCGGGGCGGTCGCCTCCGCTGGCCCTCCCGGGCCGCTCGTCTGGGTTTTTTGCTCAGTTCGGGCGCTATTTAAGGAGCTGTCTGCGGCTACGTGTGGAGACTCACGCAGCGCCGCCGGCCGCGGCGGGGAGTGGGCGCTTGGGTCTGGGACGGGGCGGGGGAGGAGCCGCCGGGAGTCCGGGCCGAGCGCGGCGCTGCCTTCCCGGTTCCGCTCGGCGGCCCCGGGAGCGGCCCCCGCAGGCGCGGAGGGTGCGAATTCGCGCTTCTGGACTCAGATACACCCCCGGGCAGAAGCGACGGCAGAGCCTCCGCTATTGTGGCTGAAAAGGTCCTCGCCAGCCTCTCAACCCTGGAAACGGTCGCCCCCCGTTAAATCAGGTTCATCACCCTTTAAAAGAAAGGCTGTGTTTTTGTTTTACTTTGTAAACCCAAAGTTTTTATTGTCCAGTGAACATTTCTTTCGCCACTGCTTGTGCCAAGAGAGCCATAGACTCTTTCCAGTAGTGAGTCTTGTAAATCCTGCGGAATCGGAGCCCAGAGTGTGTGATCTGGAACTGTGCTTTACAGGATCTTCCTCCAGTCCAGATGGAAAATTACTCACGAAGATGTGGTCGGCACCATCTCTTGGTTCCTTGGCGGGTCCCCCACTGCTTGTAGTTTTGCTAATGTCTGAGCGATCCCTTGCCTTTCCCCCACCCCACCCCACCCCACCCCACCCCCGTATTCTCACTTTTTAGTTGGCCCAGGATTTAATCTGTTGGAGTGAGCAGGGACGAAAACACATATCAGGAGAGAGTTTGACAATTTTGCCACATACTTTTCATGACATGAACGTCTTATGGAAGAAAGAGATCAGACCAGTAGCATTCTGTAACCTACCTAACATCTCCGTGAAATGGAAAATAAAAAAGAAAGAAATAGGCCTGAGCCAACATTCATTTCAACTCTGAACCTTTCAAATTAAAACAAAATTGCTGAAAAAGATATGTTCCGCTATGATCACATTTTCTGTAAAATTGCCATGATGTTAAAATAAGGGGAGCACTATAAGGCAGCCTTAAAAACAGGTGGAAACCGGCAAAGAAATGTTGCCCAGGATTTGACATTTTAGAAAAAGAATAATTTCCTGTGCCCAGAACTAAGCCAGTCATTACTGTGTTTTGAAGGTTTTGTCTCAGTTTTTTAAGAGAAGAGGAAAATTGGAGAAAGCTCAGGGAAGAGTAACAAATAATTAAAGACATGGAAAGTATAACCTGGGTGAAGAATAAAATAACGTTTATTTGGTCTGAAGGAGAAAGAACAAAGAGATGGATTCTAAACAGGCTTCTATGTGAGGCAAGCCCTGCTCTATAAAAGTAGGCAGAAAGCAAACAGCATCAATCCTTGGTGTCCAAGGAGCTTTGGGCCAAATTCAGTCTCCAGAATTCCAAACTTCTTGAACTTGACTTCTTCCAGCTTCCTTCTCCAGCGTCTTCACAAGAGCTTGTGTGTCTGGAACTTGACTTTCTGCCTTCCCACACCTCCCCTCCTCCGTGCACACTTACAGCCTCTCCATGTCACAAGCGTGTGTTTTTCTACTACAGAAGAAATTGTTGGTCTGCCAATAATTTCAGATTACTATGATATTACTATGATATTTTCTGTTAGTCACAACATCAGAACTGTAAGGCTTGTATAAAGCAAGTGTTTCTGTGGGATTTTCAAAATAGCCAGACGCTTCTATGGCCAGTCTGAAAAAAGCCCCGATTCTGAAACCAAATTCTTCCTGCCTTCTATTTCCAGCCATCTGCTGAACATTTCTGCTTGGATGTTCCACTGGCACATACTCATGTTTTTAACTCAGCACATCCAGCTCCTATCCACAGCCTCCTCATCTGTGTTAATGATACTACTGCTTTCTAACTCATGTGGCCTCAGACATGTATTTCTTTCCTCCTACCCACCAATTCACAGAGCTAGACTCCAAATCCTATAGTCTTTTTCCCTTCACATTCTCTCTCCATCAATGTTTCCATTCGTACTGCCACTTCACTAACTAATGCACTCCTGAATATACCCTAATGGTGCTATTTTAATTGTGTGCTAACTAGCCACCTTCTGTAGAATTCCCTGCCCCCAATATCATGTCATTATAGACACAGACACAGATTAATAATACTCCGTATCTTTTTGATTACTTTGTCACAAAACTCACAGATTGGAACTTGGAAACAATGCAGATTCCTTAGCCCAGAATTCACATTTCTTTATATCAAACTGAACTGCTTCTGTAGTTTAAATCACACCCAACTAATCTGGTTTGCTTTATTATCTCCCAAAGCAGACCAAATACTTTTTAACTTTTATTCTCTGGAATTTAGGCAGGAATTGCTATCTCTATTTGGCTTCCATATAAGCCAACCCTGAGCAAAGTTCAATGTCCAACATTGTGTAGGGAGATTTAAGAAAACAAGGTCAATGAGGCCTTGACACAGGAAAGGGAAGATAGTAATGAGTCCATTTTAAAATCCGCCACAGTGTGTGACTGAACCCTAACCCCACTGATCTGCTGGGGTTGAATGATAATACACCATTCAGAAATATCCTGGCTTAGGGGCAAGAGAACTGAGAACTGAGGTATGTACAACCTCAACACTCGTCAGTCATTAATTTAAGGGCTGAGGGATAGTCATTAATTCCTAGCCATTCATCCTGCTAGGCGCAAAGGCATAGCAGCCCTCCAATGATGACGCAGATCTTGACCATAAGAAAACAAGGTAGCATGCTCAGAAATGGCAAGGAAACCCGAGGAGAAATGAGAGAAGCAGCATCAGCTCAGTCATAATACCCTTTTTCATGTTATTCCTCTAATAAAGGGATAACAAACCTCTCCTGCTTCCTTCCTTGGGCTAACTTAGATCTAGCTCAGGTGTACTGGACTACCTGCCCTACCCTAGGATGGGTTGGTGTCCATGTTCCATGCTCTATGACTCCTTGAGAAAACCTTCTCGTTTGTGACAGGTTTTGTGTTTTTTGTGTGTTTATTTTAAGACAGTCTTGCTCTGTCACCCTGGGCCCTGGCTACAGTGCAGTGGTGTCATCATTACCCACTAAGAGCTTCAACTCCTGGGCTGAAGTGATCCTCCTGCCTCAGCCTCCCAAGAAGCTAAGTCTACAGGCACACCACCACACCTGGCTAATTTTTCTATTTTTAGTAAAGATGAGGTCTTACTGTTGTTCAGGCTGGTTCAAATTTCTGAGTTCAAGCAATCCTCCCAACTCAGCCTCTCAGATGTAGTACTAGGATTATAGGCATGAGCCACCTCCCTGGCCAAGGTTTGTTGTTGTTGTTGGTAGTTAATTTGCTTCTGGAGTGCGGGATCCAATTCTTTTTCATCACTGGATGCTAAGTAACTGGCACACAGTAGCATGTATTCATTCATTCATTTGTTAATTCAAAAATCATTCTGAAGCTGTGTTTTGATGGTAACTAGGAGGGACCACAAAGGAGGGCCATCCGGAAACTTTAATAGTGGGTCCTGGAAAGGCCTCACAGAATGGATGATAGTTAAGCAAAGACCTGAAAGTGGTAAGAGAAAGTGGCGGCCATCTCTGTATGGGGAATTGTGGTCCAGACAGAAGAAACAGGAAGTGTGAAGACTGAGCTCATACCACATCTGGAGTGACATAGGGAGGCAAGAGGGTGACAAGCATTCAGTGACTATAGGTAAGAACAGAATGTAGGAGATGAAGCCCGGGAGGTTACAAGAGAGGTCAGCACTTAAGCAGTGTGACAGGTGTAAAGCCCAGTAACAGCTTTTTCCTTGACTCTGAATGAATTGAAAAGTCTTTGGATAATATAGGGGCAGCAATGACATGATCTGAAATAGGGTTAAAAAGGATCCCTAGGACTCCAGTTGCCAGGTTGCATGAAGACTAAAGAAAGGAGGTGGGGAAAACGAAACAGCCCGGACACCAGTTTGTTGGCTAATGCTGTGGTCCAGGAGAGAGATGATGGTGGCTTTAACCAATCGACAGCCAATGACAGTCGATTTTTAGATAGGTTTTGAATGGAAAGCCAACAAATTATCATGGTTTGAATGTGGGTATAAGAGAAAAAAGGAGTCAGAGAATAGTTATTCAGTAAATATTTATTGAGTGAGTAAGAAGTTTTGAGAGCACCTGCATTATCGTAAACCTGGGGGTGGAGACAGGAGGGGAGGGTAAGTAAATGCGAGAAGGAAAAAAACACAGAGCTGAAACTCAGAGCAGAATCTTTGGGGAGGGAAGCAAAAAAGAGCAGAGGTGACTGATAAAGTCAGACAAATAGGAAAAATACAGAAGCGAGACTTGGGGAATAGAAGGAAGCCTGAGAGAAAGTTATTAACTTTTGGCCCGGTGTTGTGGCGGGCGCCTGTGGTCCCAGCTACTTGGGAGGCTGAGGCAGGAGACTCGCTTGAGCCCAGGAGTTAGAGGTTGCTGTGAGTGAGATGCCATGGCACTCGACCCAGGGGATAGCTTGAGGCTCCGTCTCAAAAAAAAAAAAAAAGAAAGTTATTAACTTTAGCACTCAAGACACAAGTCTAGGATCAGAACTCTAAGCCTATCTAAAGAGATGTTTTTCAATCTTTATCTCTTGGAACACTTGACCCTATATTTAAACCTCTGCCACCCACTTAAATGATGTTGATTAAAAAAAAAAAAAAGTTGAGTAAAAAAGAATATACTTACTATGCTTTGAACTTCTTCGAAATTCATTAATTTCATTAATGGTCTTTAAAATCTTTCGAGACACAC